TGTGTTTGTTGTGTTTGTGTCTGTGTCTGTGTGTGTGTGTGTGTGTGTGTGTGTGTGTCTGTGTGTGTGGTGTGTGTGTGTGTGTGTGTGTGTGTGTGTGTGTGTGTGTCTGTGTGTGTGTGTGTGTGTTGTGTGTGTGTTTTTCGTTGGTGTGGCCAATGAAGTTCGAGAAGCAGAGTTCCAGATGTCAAAATAAGACTTTATTCAACAAAGAAACAAAGCCGGGAAGACAGTCACCGCATTCCAAATCATTCCAAAGTCTTTGTTTGTCTACTCATCTGTTATATACCCTTTATTCTCTCCAAATTTGGTCATTTCTGTTTTTTCTTTGTTCCGGTTACTTTTTATTGGTTATTGTGTCTGTGTGTGTGTGTGTGTGTGTGTGAGTGTGTGTGTGTGGTGTGTCTGGTGTGTCTGTGTGTGTGTCTGTGTGTGTGTGTGTCTGTGTGTGTGTGTGTGTGTGTGTGTTGTGTGTGTGTCTGTGTGTGTGTGTGTCTGTGTGTGTGTGTGTGTGTGTGTGTGTGTGTGGTGTGTGTGTGTGTGTACACAGTGCTTTGGAAAGGTAACATTTTTAATTTTTTTTTTGTCATGCAATAAAGTACAAAGACCAGTTTAAAATAAAAATTTGTCCATAAGGTGTGCGTTTTTGAGCCAATGCATTTGGAGCAGTGTTGCGTAATATTCCCATATAAAGCTTTAATGACCAATTTAAAAATATTGGTATAGTAAATTTACTAATTCACAAGATCAGTACATCCTTTATTAACCCTTTATTAAATGGGAGCAGCGTCACAGGCGTCATTCACGCGTCAGTGAGTAACAAAGGAATAAGTAGCTGTTTTCTGATTACTTTAATGTGACTGATCAGGCTTTTATATGTAGTTTGGGGTAACAAAGGGTTTTATAGGTTCGGCTGAAATAAAAATGCAAAAACTGACACTTTAAATCAACGTTTCAAACAACAACAAAACAGATAAAGACAAAAAGTAGTCCTTGATAATATCTAAACATTAATTTATGTGTGATGACAATTTCTTAGCATCTAGGGATTGCACAAACGTGTTTATATAGGGCTATACAGGCATCTAGTGGCTACATAATAGTATTACAAATGATAAATGGTGCAAAATTTATATCTTAACAGTCAATTTACAAATAATGCGTTCGGATATTATACAATATTAAGCCCTGTTCACACTAAGAACGATAACTATAGAATGTGTTCTTACCGTTATCTAGAGCTTCTTTGCTCGACTGAATTGAACTCCGCACATTAAACAAGTTACTGAATAATAATAATAAAGAAAATGTATCTCCTTCTTTGAGCTGGATTCAAACCAGCGAGCTAAGGATCTCAGCGGATCCGCCTCTACAGTCCTCCGCTCTACCAACTGAGCTATCGAAGGGAACGGAGAACCGTAACATGTAATTTTTTTAAATAAATGCTTCTATTGCAATTGTTGTAATTTTTATTACAAAAACTGAATTCTGAGAAAAAGTCAAAATTGCGAGAAAAAAAATAATTCTGAGCTAATAGTTAATAAAATCATAAAAATGTAAAATTACAATAATTATAAAAAACTATTAAAATAAAATCCTAGAAATTAATAATAAAAATGTAATATTAAAATTAACCATTTTAAAATAAACAACACTTACTGAAAGTTAAATAATTCAAATGTAAAATTAAAGTTAAATATAAACGTAAATTAAAATAGGACACTTAAAATCATAAAAATGTAAAATTATAATAAATATTTCAAAATAAAAACAATTACAATATAGCACTTGTTAAAAATTAAATCATGAAATGGGAAAATTAAAATTACAATTGCAATAGAAGCATTTATTTAAAAAAAATTACATCATAATAAAATAATGTTAAAATAAAAACAACCAAAATAAAACACTGGAAATAATAAAAAATAGAATAATAATTTAAATCATTTAAAAATAAGCAATTAAAATAGGACACTTACTAAAAATAAAATAATTTGCATGTAAGATTACAATATTTTAAAATAAAACAATTAAATAAAGCACTTCCTAAAAATTAAATCATAAATTGTTTTTTTTAAATAAAAGTAAAAAGGTAAAAAAACACTATAAAAACACTAACTAAAATTGACAATGACAAGGAATTCCTTTTAATTAATCTTAACCAAATGTAATCTTCATGAATTAAAATTTGCAAATAATAAATTGAGCATTAACATGATAAGTGTACAAGAGACCATATTTTTATATTTTATTTGACTATATAATTATGTATGAGCTTTTACTCGTATGTATACACACAACAAATCTCAAATCCATCACTGTGACCCTTTAAATCTTCATTATGTGTTATGATTATTATATATTATATCCGTTTATCGGTGTCTGATGTCTATGTGCAGGTGTAGTGTGAATAAACCAGCAAACACACATCCTTCATTCTCCACACTTTTTTATTTTACAAAGAAAAACTCCACATGGATGCATGTTTGCAAATGGTTGCCATTACAGCAGATGAGGAGTGAAAGGGTTAATGACACAGGCCTGTCAATCAAATAATAAAGACTGAGAATGAAATGTTACATTAAAACATAGCAGCTAGAAAACTCGGTTTTGTAGCGTCAGTCGGTTAACCGTTAGTAATGGCCAAGTCTCTTTTCTTCTTCGTATTCATTGACTTTTCCATTCAATGTTAGTTGTTCTTTTTCATGCCGTTTGACGGTTTCCTTTATAAATAAATAAAACTCTCACACCTGCACTATCAATAATGATTTAAACACACACAAACTCTTTAAAGTCAGCATGAAGACTCGATTTGCTGTCCTAACACGCGGTTCTGGTCTGATGGTGAATGTAATAAGATCAGGAGCAGGAATAAGAAAGTAAATAGGCTTCATGTTGATTTGAAGCTTATTTAACCTGCGATTTGTCTGGGATTTGATCCTTAGTGTCCACTTCATTCACTGCTACTCAAAACCCCTCTAAAGAAAACAAAAGATTCAAATGAAAAATGACAAAAGTGCCAAGCTCTCTAATAAATAAGCCAAATAAAAAACTGTTAACCTTGGCTCAGTGTGTGTCGCTACATCAGTGTGTGTGAGACATGTGTGTGTGTGTGTGTGTGTGTGTGTGTGTGAGTGTGTGTGTGTGTGAGAAAGTGTCACCGCATCATCATCATCGAGTCGTCTGGACTCTTCATTAAACTCACAGCCAATCAAACATCAGCTTCACCATATCACTTCAGACCTCATTAGCATAGACACGCCCTACTCACGCTATGAGCCTATTAGGCCACGCCCCTAGTGTCTGCTGGTGGGGGATGGAGTGAAAGAGGGTGAGAAATAAAGAAGGATGACGTGATGGAGGAAGGGCAGGCAGAAAGGATGGAGAGAGAGAGAGTGAGGATGAGGAGGATCAGTATTCATCCTGGTCCTGCGGCTGTTCGTCAATCTCCTCATCCTCCGGAGGCACGAAACCATCCTGAAAACAAACCAAACATCAATAAACTGTACGTTTGGGGACGCTGTATGGAAGCTCGTTTCGGGCACGGAATAAAAAAAATGTAAAAAAAGCAATTGCGACTTTTTAATTTCACAGTTTTGGCCTTTATAAACTCGGGATTGCAAGATACAAACCTGCAATTGTGAGAAAAAAGTCAGAATTTTTAATTCTGGGGCAGAAACAAAAAAAAAGAATTGCAGGATATAAAGAAAAAAAATTTAATTAGAAGAAAAAAGTCAGAATTGCGAGAAAAAACTGAATTGTGAGAAAAAA